TACATAGCAAGATACATCTAAAAATTACTATTTTTTAACTTTGCTAAAAAATAACTGGATCTTCCGCATAAAAAGATAGACAAATAAAGTAAAGTTACATCCTCTACCTCAACGAAAGAGCAAAAGTCTTACATTAACGACGTTTGTTTTGCCACGTGTTCGTGGCACAATTTCCTACCGCATGAAAGATGATATATTCATCATAAAAAATCTTTTTTAACTTATACATATCCATACATTCCACACATCACAAAAGGTCTTGTTTTCTATTGCTGAACTGGTTGCACTACGTCAGAGTTTATCTTTGTTACTCCACATTGGAAGAAAAAAGATAAACTCTGAACTAGTGCAGTTCAGCAATAGAAAAAATGTACGCGAGTAATCCGCCACTGGAATTTTATCGATAAATTTTGTTGTATTTCTGTCAATAATATTGTACATTTTGCCATAAATTCATTCTGCTATTAAATTTGTAGCAAACACTTGCCAGAATCTGTTTTCAATACCATATTTTAATCGTGTGTGGTGCATATTAGAGGTTAAGTAAAATAATAAAGATAAACGAAGCGAGAAAGAAGAATGGACATCGTGTGTTCAGATTTATTTATCTATATCTATCGAACATGCTGTTCGCACGTAATTTGCACCTCGCGATTTATGACAGATGCTGCCTTCTTCTTCTTTTATTTATTTATTATGGCACCTGCCCTCGGTGAGGGGCGAGTCGGCGCGAGAGTCCAAAGTCCAAGATGCTTGCCTCCTCACATCTGAACTTTCTGCACTAGTGCGGGAAATGTGCACTGAAACAGTTTTTATCTATCGCTAATCGCTACACCTGTTATTCTATACATTACTGCATTAAGAATAATATATCTCTTGAATTTTTTATTTAAATTATCTTTTTAATAATGTATCTTGTAACTGAATTTCCTTGGATATGAATATAAATTTCTTTTAACTTTATTTAAAAGCTTTACATTCTATAAAATATACGTTCTTTGTATCTTACATAAAATCTTCAGATCTTAATTGTGAATATAGTCCCAAGCTAATAATGGACTCGTTATACAACAACGTGTTTCAAATATGTGAAAATCTACAATCGTTTCAAATATCGTTCGAAATGAATTCTTAAAAATCTTAAATAAACTCGTCGAAAATTTTTGAAAGAAAAATTTAGATGCCCATTACTAACTTAAGTAAAACCGGTATTAGATATTTCTCCCGCAAAATTAATTTAACACGTGTCCAAGAGCTAAAATTTACACCTGTGGGATACTCGTACGTATTCGCAGACCATGCATATCTTTGATTTCTTCCTTGAGAACCTGCAATAACACAGATATTGATTACAAGATAATACATATATTTTACCGATTATATTGATTATAACATGTCTAATTATAGCTTTTCTAGGAAGAAATTGTATCAAGCTTTACCTCGTTAATAATTCGATGCTGTTTTACCGTATTCAGTCCTTTGAACTCTGGAGCAACGAC